TTCATTCATTTATATATATATATATATATATATATATATATATATATATATATATATATATATATATATATATATATATCTATATATATATGTATATATATATATATATATATATATATATATATATATATATATATATATATATATATATGTATATATATATGTATATATATATATATATGTATATATATATATATGTATATATATATATATGTATATATATATATATATGTATATATATATGTATATGTATATATATATGTATATATATATATATGTATATATATATATGTATATATATATATATGTATATATATATATATATATATATATATATATATATGTATATAAATGTATGTATATATACGTATGTATATATACGTATGTATATATACGTATGTATATATACGTATGTATATATATGTATGTATATATATGTATGTATATATAGATGTATATATAGATGTATATATAGATGCATATATATAAGAATATATAAAGTATATTATATATATATATATATATATATATATATATATATATATATATATATATATATATATATATATATATATATATATATGTATATGAACTTATAAATATATATACATAAATTTACAAATATATATATATGAATATATAAATAAATAAATATAGATATATATATATAAAATATATACATATATATAAATATATAAATATATAATATATATATATATATATATATATATATATATATATATATATATATATATATATATATAATGATATACATATGTGAAATGCACTTATGTAATATAAATAGTACATACAAATAAAATGGATAAAATATGAAAAAGACAAAGACAAAAAAAAAAAATTAAAAAGGGGAGGGGGGCACAGAAAGAGAACTGAAGGTAATACCGTCTTGTCCCTGTAACAATTATATACACAGCTAAGCCAAAAGAAAAAAAAAAAAAAAATGTAACCATTACCAGGAAACAAACAAACAAACATAAAAAAAAAGGTAATTATTATTGGATGTCAATAACAGCAATAATATTTAGCGTACACGGAAGTCCGTCCACCCTCTGTGATGTCTTCAATTATCTGGAGTTGAGATGGCTTTTGCAACAAGCAATGGGTACGGGTGGTCAGTGGGATGACTTATCTTAGGGGGGGAGGGGGAGTCTCAGGGGACAAATTATGCTAGGAGGGATAAGGGGGGGGGGGGGGGTGTCAATAGGTGAATGATCATTAAGGGCAGATGAATGCAGAGGTGTGGGGGGGGGGGGGAGATAGAAAATATCATTTGGGAGGGTTGGGGGCACTTAAATTACCTTTACAGAGAGGGGATGAGGGGATTAAAATTATGTTTCCAGTGGGGAGGAGATGGGGTGGGGGGGGGGGGATTGAAAGACTTCTGCTGGGGGGGGGGGGGGGATGTGCAGAAGGTGGGAGGTGGGGCGGGGTGGGAAAAAATTCCTTTGTGAGGGCAGCAGTAGGTTCTTATACCCTTGGATAAGGGTTGGGGTAGGGTGTGGGGGGGAGGGGGGTTGAAAGATTCATCTGTAGGGAGGGCCTGAGAGAGCAAGCTATGGTTCCTTCTTCATGTTGCTTGAGAGAGAACCAAAACTCAACAGAAAAAGAGACATAATTCAAAAACAAATCAAATAATCAACAAGGGGAAAATAAGGCAGACTTCAAATTATATGACACAAGCTCTAAAAATGAGTGGGGGAGAAAAATCATATTAATCAATAACAACAAAATAAAATCAAAAAGACAAAAAATGTGGATGCAATATCACAATTTCATGCAAAAAAGAAAAAAAAAATATATAATAACTATATAAAGATAAATAAAAAATGATAATAATGAATCTAAATAATGAAAATATACAAGAACCCACACAGAGAGATCACAAGGTGTAATGTCAATTAAAGATTTTGAGAACAAATAAAAAAGCCTTTGTAATAGTATGGTTCATTAAAAAGACAAACACACACACACAAACCATCATATAATGTGGTAATAGAAAAATATAATACAGAAAATGTATGTATGTATAAAGAAAAGCATCTCGTACAGTATTGAGTTTGTGTGCACATGTGTGAATGCTAAAGTGTTAATGTACGTAAATATGTATACAAACAAATATTTTCCAAATACCTAAATAACCCATACAAAGACCCTAATTTATGCATGTGCCTTCATCCTCTCTCCCTCAGACAGACAGACATACAAAGCAGACAGATAGACAAACAAGCAGATAAGACAAAGACACAAAAATAAATCTACACAGCTATTTTATCTGTTTCCTTCTGTATTCACTATACTAATTCTATGCTAGCTGTACACTAAGTAAAGGGAGAGAAAAGCAGCTATTAACAGAACAAGCTCACCATTTCACACCTAAACTACCAAAAATGCCGCCTGAAACTCCTCTCTATTGTATACTATGATCATGCTGATATTACCTTTGTTACCTTTTCTGTAAGTCCTTTCATATGGCAATCTAATTTCCTAAATGAATATTTCTAATGCAACACAGCCTATGTAATAACTGCCAAAGCACCAAAATCATAATAACGACTCGAGAGAACCATGTGTTCAATTGCAACTAAGTTGATAGAAATTAACACAGAGCAGTTTCATTGCAGAAAACAAAGAAAAATAAAGAAAAGAAAGGCCATCTACTAACAAGCTTGTAAAGTGGATACATATGAATACACATTCAGTATAATTACATAACTAAGATATATAACTATTCATCTATAATGCTAAAAATATGTATGCATATACTTGCTCCTTATATTTACATCTTACACAACCCTAACAGCAAATCCTGAAGACTCTTTTAAGAAATTCTGAACATTTTGGAGACTTTCTAATAAATCAAATATTTGTAATAGGCAATAGAATCCTTTAATAAATTTATATGCATGTATTTTACATAAATATAAATATTTACATGAGATTATCATCAAAATATATTTTTCTGAGCAATAAACCACAAAAAAGACTAGCAAAATAACTATATACTATCAAGTTATTTAAAGCAAATAACTTTTATAAAGAAGGCAAAGAATAACACTTAATGGTAAATGGGAATTAAAAAAATTATTGATGTCATTTTCTTTATCAATTTATTCACAAATAAAACACACAGTAATTAAAAATGTCTCAACTGACCCACCAACACATACGCAGAATGTAACCTTTAAAGTCAATTAAATATGTGTGACATGTAAAATATGTACAACCTAGAGAATGATAATTGGTTTGCTTTATCAACGTTCCTAAAATCACATAAAACAATCATATAAAACAATAAATCTTCAAATACACAAAGACAAACATATACAAATATATAAAGTCAAAGAAAAGTCTCCATCATATAATTTTCTCAAAAGATTAATTCTTATGTCTGAACAGCAATATTAAGTTATCAGGTCAAAAATCATTCTTTAAATGTAAGAACACTGCCTGCATTCACAATCAACACTAGAGAAAGCTAAGGCAAAGAGACTAACCCTTAGAACACCTTACACAATTTAAATATATATATAAATATATATATATATATATGCATTTCAGCATCCTGAAATGGATATCACATTTACCTCAAGAGTGAATCCATCTTCTTGAACTAACGTATCTAAAAGTATCCTACAGGCAACCTCTCTCCTCTCAGGGTAGTGCAGCCCCTTCTCCAAAGTCCTCAACACTTGATAATCACACTCCAACTATCTTGCCTCTAAAGCTGCCCCTCAGAGCAGACACCCCTAGCTGGTACCCTCGCAGTGCCAAGTCGGCTCCTTCCTCCTAGGGCCAAAGCCTCCACTTCCCTCCCCCTCCCCCTCCCCCCACCTAAGGCTCAGATTGCCCTCATCGCCTGACCTGGATCTGAGGCTCGTCTGTCCAGCCATGCTCGCTGGCGTTGGCGGGCGACGACCCCACTCTCTCTTGCCGCGACTTCTCTCAGGCTAAGGAAGCTGGAATGCCCTGGGAGACAGAGCAGGCAGGTCGTCCTTTCGGTCCGTGAGCTTCCCAACAACTGGCCAAGGGTGGAATCTTCCCACCACATGGCATCTGTGCCGACAGCATCTGGCACCCTCACCACATCTACCTCTCCCTCCCTCCTTCTCTCTCTCTTTTTCTATCCCTACCTCCCTTTCTCAAGATACTGTGTATGCATGTGCCCTGTAAACCAACCTGCCGAGCCTTCCATTTTCCTCCCTCCCCCCATGATTCAAGGAAATGACTCTCTCACTCTCCCAGCCCACACTGGAGCCCCTTCCTGAAGCCCCTTCCCTGCCAAGGGGGTCACTTGGCTGCTGCTCCTTCACTCAGGGACAAGTACCAAATAAAAGCTCTGAGGAGGACCTCTGAGTTGGCCTACATGAGGCTGGCATTGCAGTTTATTCAGTGTTGCTTCTCCTTCCACTGGGGGAGAGGAAGAGACAAGGGGGCCGAGTGTGTATGGTAGGAGATCGACGGGTGAAGGAGGAGTAATGTTCCAGGAGGCGGAGGAGGCGGAGGAGGAGGAGGAGGAGGAGGAGAAAAGGGAGAAGGAGAAGGAGAAGGAGGTGCAGGAGGAGAAGCAGAGGGTACTCTGTCCCTGCTATATATATATGTGTGCGTGTGTGTGTGTGTCCCGATCCCTCGCGCACATCGTCCACGTCCTCCTCCTCCTCCTCCTGCACTCCGCCTCCGCCGCCTCCCCTGCCGCCTGTCTCTGTGCCGCCGCCTCCCGCGCCTTCGGCAGGAGGACGAGGTGGCCCTGGATCCAGGTCGACGGCGCGGGAGGGAGGCTGGAGGGCGAGGCCGAGCAGTCCCCAGGAAGTGGCCTTCCTCCGAGCTCTCCCGCGACAAAACAAAACCCCCGCTCGTCCCTCCCCAAAGGGCGCCCGCGACCCCAGCTCTCCCCCAAGCCACCCCGCATCACAACTCCTTTTTCCGCCGCCTCGCCTGGCTCCCCAGCATGCAGCGGGGCCCGCGCCGCGCCACGCACTTACCTCGACGACGCTCTCGGCTCGGCTTGCGGATTCAGCGAGAATCAAGGGCAGCGCCGCGCATTTTAGGATTTTCCGCGAAAAACAAAGCAGCCACCACTGCTCCCCCTCGATGCGCGTTCGATGCGCTTTTGTTGCACGGGGAACGCGGAACGGAACGCTCGCGCGGCTTTCGAAGCTTATTTCGCCCTCTCTGGCCTCCTCGCTCAGTAATGATGGCTTCTACAGGGCGTAAATTTGGGATTCGCGTTGATGTTGGGCCGGAATGCGCGCTAAAGCCGTTCGTCGCCGATGCTAATATGCAAATTTCGTAACGGAACTTTGGCTCATTCGGAAAGAAAAAAATTGCCTTTGGATTGCAACATAGCTGTTTTGTTGACATATTTTTCTCGTTTTAAATATTTGTAATGCTATGCAATGTGTTTACCATGCAATAGTAAATCAATGTTGACAAAAGGTAGAAATTGATGTGTAATTTTGTCTTCGGAGCTTTTCATACTCTGGTTAGCAGATACTAAGTAGGTCCTGACGACGTTCATTTTTTCATTAAGTAATCACTTACGAGCCCTTCTACCCATCTCTTGTACTTCCGTTGAATATCAAATTAAAAAATAAATTTAGGAAATTGTTAATGACCAGTTAATTCTGTAAAAGTCTGTGATCTATCCCGACAGACACTATAAAATACGAAGGTCATCAAACACCAAAGACTGTTTAACCAATCAAAACACACCTAAATATTCACGTCATCCCCAATCCGAGTTCTGATTGGCTGTCGCACGGGGAGGGGCGAGTGCCGGAAAAGTCTGATTGGCGGAGGGATACGCACGTCTTCACTTCCTCCCTCACCTTCACGCAGTCAACATGGCCCTTGGAGAGTACCCCGCCGAATACAATCCCAAGGTCCACGGCCCCTACGATCCCGCCAGGTTCTATGGCAAACGTAAGACAGGGGGGGATAACATGAGTGGGTATGTTGTGCACGGTTTAGAAAGAGAGAATAAGGCTCCGAACGCGGGGAAAATCCGGTGGAGGAGAGGCGTCGTCTGCTCCGGCGGCCGATCAGCTGATTCCTGTGACGGGGATATTTGGTTTTCCTTTTTCTTCACTTGTTTAGGAATAATGACGCCTTTTTAAGCGTTGTGACATGTTTCTCCGCGGGTAGAGAATAAGTAGAGGATACCGGTTCTTGGGTCATTTTGGATTTTCTGTCGATTTTAAGTGTTCGAAAAAGTTGGTGAAAATCTGCCGGTGTTTTGGTGTTCTGGTGAACTGCAACTTTTTCATGTTTTTTTCTGAGTCTGATTACTTTGCTTTTGGCACGAAAGGGCTTTTCGCAGTTAGAATATAGTCGCATTTATTTTTTGAGGGTTGTAGAAAGCTTTGGTCTTTTCAATCGTTAAATGTTTATACCTTCATCGTCGTATGTTCTTGACTAAAAACTACTTGTAAATTGATTGGTTTCGTGTGTAACAAATTAGTTGCTAAACAATTTAGAATTTTTAATCACTTTTTGTGGCATTGTGTAGAACATGGTAGTTTTACAAAATGCAAAGAATATTCTATTTTAGCAACTATGAATTCATGAATATTTATTGTCATTACTATTTATGGTATGGATGCATTAAGGTAGGACAAATTGAAGGTGATATTCTTGTAGAGGATGAAAAGTTAGTCATTGTTTGCAGCCACAAACAGGAATCCCACAAATAATGGAAAAAGATTATGGGAAGCAGCACTCACAGCCTAAGTCTACTTGGTGTTCCCGTGTTTCAGCTCTATCTTGCTTTGCATACCAAGGTGAAGACAATGTTTCCTGTGGGGTGTTGGGAGGGGCAGAGCCCCCATCAGCCCTCCCCTCAGGCAGTGCCCGAAGGGCATGTACAAGGACAGCAACTTAGGGTAACTGAGATTGTTGAAATAATTTAGTGACGTGGGGATGGGGACTTGGTCTCTGGCAAATGCATCCGTATTGTAAAGAACACCCCGGATAATTCTTCATAAAGTGACAGTTCCTTTCTGAGACTCTCCTTATTACTCCAGCCAACAATCTGGGATGCATTCCTGGGATTCCCTTAACATTGTCACAGGATCTTAAAACCTTCCCAGCCCATGGCTTTAGCCCCGGGAATTTTTGTTTTACCCTGCCCTTTGACATGATTTTTCTTGGCTGGAGCACATAGGTCCCCCATAGAAACTTTGATTTTAAACTGTAAAGAAAACTAATTTTGGGTAAAAATGAGCAAAATCTTTCATAGAAACCACCTAACCTAGTGTAACCTTGCCTACTACATACATACATTAAATGTAAGGTACAACAGGACTGCACCCATCAGACGCTCTCCCCATGAATGAACTGACTACACAAACTACCTCAAAGATCACTGAACCAAAAACCTAGAATATGGTACGAGGGCTCCACCCCCATACCCCATTCTAATCCCTGTATTTCCCTTGCTGGAGATAGACTCTAACAGTCACCTTATTTCCCTAGTCCTTGCAATCCTTTTGTATGATTTAACAAAATAAAATTTAAAAGGTTTTGTGTGCATTTGATCAACTACATTGATGGCAAAGCCTCTACTTTGCCCTGCTTTCTGTAGCAGACCCTACACCACTTATCACGGCAGACGAGCATATGATCCTGAGCATGGATATATTGGGCTCATAGGAGCTAGCACTCTTCCAGCCATGGCTCATGGATTCTACCTTCATTTACTAGTACAAATAAAGCAAGAGTCCCTTCCTAACTGCTCACTGAATCTAATCTTCCAAGGGCTTTGTGTACTCATAATGAGTCCTTCCTGTCACCTGAGCCCTCAGATGAACTTTTTATCGCCCCAGCCTTCAGCCAATTTGTTCTACAAAGGCATGCACCTGTTACTCAGTTCTCAGCCACATTTTTGTATGATATTAGTCACATCACCTGGATACAATAGGTTAATGTAAATATCAGATATATATATTATAAATGTTATATCCAAAGCATATGTTCAAAAGGTACCTATGCATCCTGCAAACCTGTTAGCACCTCAGCCAACCAATAAACTACTATCACATACATATTCAGTCAAGATAGAGCTTGTAGGCAATTGAGCATCAAAAAAGGAAGCAATCAAGGCTATCCTGCAAGAGTGTGAAAAAGCTTTTTGGCCTTTGATGAACCACAGAGGCCATTGTGATTGATTGGCTCTGTGCCACTACCAGGTTGCACACCTTAATTTAGACATTTCATCATAGATCATAGGCTTAAAGTTGATTTGAACCGAAATCATTTGATTATGAGGAAGTTGTCTAGAAAGTGTCTTTTTTTTTTGATAGTCTGTTCCTTTCATACTTTCTTTGAAGTCTATAAAACCTTCTTGTACCTAGGAAACACATAAGTAGATAATGTCAGATAATAAAAAGAGAGAGAGAGAAGAGAAATAATCGTTTAGTATTCTTTTTAAAAAATTGCAAAGCATAAGACAACTAACGAGTCTCTCTCCATTATTGCTGTTATGGTTGATGCATAACTGGCAAGAACATGAATGTTGCCTCTACCTCGTTCATCCCTCCCCCCCCCTCCCCCTCCCTCCTCCCTCCCCCTCCCCCTCTCCCTCTCCCTCTCTCTCCCTCCCCCACCCCCCCCACCCCTCCCATTTGCTTCTTCAACCTTTTTCTTCCTGTCTACTTTCACCTTCTTTTTTCCAAATTCCATTTCCAGTGTAGTAGAAGTTTAACTTCAGTTCAATATGGTCCACCAGTTCTTAAAAAAAAAAAAGACATGATTTAAATGAGTAGGTATCCATTATGTAACTACCATTCAATTCTTGTTACGAGGATCTATTTTCCTTATAGCTACGTTCTTTTCTTGAGTTCTTTACTTGGCTAGACTGAATTTGAATTTCTGTTGGGAGTTGTCATTCCTATTGATCAATTGTAGGTGTGATGTGTTGTCAAGTTTAGGTGGCATTGTGAATATCCCAATGTGTAAACTGGCTCTAAATTAAAGTCCTCTCTAGTTTCCTTCCTCCTTTCCATTTTCCATTTTGCCTTCTTTTTTTATCATCACTTTTACGTAGGTGTATGCTTTTGTATGTGTAAGTAATTAAATGAACGTAAAGATGTTATATCCAGCATCTTGCAAATGTTCTAGGGAGACGAAGTTTTCCACTTCCACTACCATAAGCCCCCACTCCCCCCAGCCCTCCAAATAGAATTTGCATACAAGGTTTTGTCCAGAGTGAGGATCACCCAGTGAAGAGGCCCTGCATACCCATTGCATTATCTGAACCGTGAGCAGGGGGTAGTTTGGCTCAGCTGTAACAATATGCAGAATGGGGCTTGAAGAGGAGGGGGCCTTGGTCCTTTAGTATTCTCTCATGGACTATCTGTGAGGATGGATTGCCCAGGATTGATTACTTGAAAGGGTGAGAAATGCAGAGCAGAATGATTATATAAACTCTCCCTCTCTCCCTCCCCCCTCCCTCCCCTACATTCTCTCTCTCTCTCTCTCTCTCTCTCTCTCTCTCTCTCTCTCTCTCTCTCTCTCTCTCTCTCTCTCTCTCTCTCTCTCTCTCTCTTTTGCTCTTGCTCTCTCTCCCTCCCCCCCTCCCCCTCCCTACCCTCTCTTTCCCTCCTCTGCCTACCTGCATCCCTTGCTCTTCATGTCCTTGAGCTCCATGGACTCTTCTTTCATGGAAACAAGACCAAGTAGGGACCGGATTTAGAACTTTGTTCCCATGCATATTGTTCTCCCAAAAAAGGAATTGATTGGAACTAGATAAATTAATAAGAATAAGAGGAATGAGTCATTTGCTTTTTTTGCCTCTCGTGGCTTTTCTTCCACACTTGTTAGTCTCAGACACTAGCCAAGTGGACAAAGGTGTTGGCAACCATATGAGAATACAACTGCAAATAGTTACTTGCCCTTTTCCTATGTTCCTTTCTTTGCATCTTTCTACTGAACTATGAATGCAGGCCAAGGATATCTGATTGTTTTATTGATTGGCAGGTCTTGTAGTTAGTTTTGCTTGAGCATTTTCATTGAGTATTATTCATCATTTGAGTAATATTGGTTAGATGTTTTAGGCTTACACTTGTTAGTGTTGCCTATTGTTTAATTAACTATGACTAAGATTGCTTTACCATTGGTAGTGTATCAGTTTTCCATTTTAAGTTTTTATAACTCATGTAAATGGTCAAAACCAGCAGTTTTGTATACAAGTTTCTCATTTTCATAAATCTTGTTATCTATTTTTCTTCCACCTTCCTCTAGGTAAACCCTTATATT